TAACCCCCCCCCCCCCCCCAGAAATCTAAAACAGTTCTTTCGTTGTTGTCCCACAAAATGTAAATTTCGGACAGAATTATCTAAAAGATACTTTAAAAAGTGCCCCTGCTTATAATACCACCCCCTTTCATAAAATCCACACTTCTTTTTCATTGTTATTCCATCGAGATATTCGTCCTGCCAGAGAACCAACTCTTCGACTCCGTGTATGTACTCCGAGGAATGAAATTAAATCTCCTTCTCCAATTAAAATGTCCGTAAGCTTACGAGACTGTTTTATGCTTTTGCTGGAAAAAAATTCAACCCCTTTCAGTTGCACGTACTGCGAAAAAGGCAGCAAAAGAACACGCCAGTTATTCCACTTTGCTCTCATTCACACCCCCGCAGTAGTTTTCTGACCGGAACGAATGATCTTGACGACTGCTAAACGTCGAGCCAGAAGATGTTAAGTTTCGCGTACGCATAATTAACTACGTGGAAATTGCCCATTTTTCTTATTATGTTCTTTGCCTCACTTTGAAAAAGTCTTTTTATATTTGTTGGCTGTTTGTACTTAAGTCGAGTCTGTGTACATTATTGGACAACTACAAATTTTTAATTACATTCACCTCCCCTGTCGCAGTTTGAACTGGTACGTCCGACATCCATCCAGAGCATGGTAATTGGCGCCCTCGTCATGATGGTGGTGTGCTTCATTTTCATTCCCAACATTCAGTGCTGCCTCTGGGTCGCCCTGTCCATCATCTCCATCGAGGCTGGAGTCGCAGGATATATGGCGCTTTGGGGGGTGAACCTGGACTCCATCTCAATGATTAATCTCATCATGTGCATCGGATTCTCCGTCGATTACACGGCGCACATATGTTACGCTTGTATGTCATCGCAAGGAAGCACCCCTGAGGAGCGTGTGAAGGAAAGCCTATATGCCCTAGGCCTGCCTATTATCCAAGGCGCTAGCAGCACAATCCTTGCAGTTATAAGCCTTGTCCTTGCAGGAAGTTACATATTCTTGGTGTTTTTCAAGATGGTGTTCCTTGTGGTGTTCTTTGGGGCAATGCATGGCCTCTTCCTTCTGCCAGTATTGTTATCCCTCTTTGGACCTGGCTCTTGTACGGCCTCCAAGAAGCGAAAACCATTAGACAAAGAGCCATCTGACACGAAGCGTCCTTCTGATGTGGAGAAAACATTCCCTCATCCATTCTGTATTCCTCATCCTTCCCTAAACCCCGTAAGCCACAGTAATTTTATGCACAGATGCACAAACGGCGAGCTGAAATCTTCATCACCAAAGCATTTTGCAAAACATAAGGAAGGCAATTATCACCCCAGGAATGTAGAGAATGAGGGAAAGCTGGGAAATTGCCCACACTTTGGCATCCCATTGCCAGGTCTGCCAAGTCATATGAAGATGTATAGTGGAGGAAAATATGGTGGTACATCTGGATCCTTGGAAAAAGATCTGGGATTAGGAACATCCGGAGAAGATTCTAGCGAGTCGAGTTCCAGCAAGTCCCAACGCCGTCTGCAGCAAAGGGAAGAGGCAGGCGAGGATTATGAACAGAGCAGACATCAAAAGGATGGCTGGCGGAAGTCACCTTCGGCCCGTCCTTCTGGAGCAGAAGTCTGCCGGGGAAGGCCACAAGAATTCCAGCCTCCACACCTCATGGAAGTATACGCCAATTCTGGATATCTTAGCGACGAGGGAGGGCAGCATCACAGGAGCCGGGACCGAGCCGCCGCGTGGAATAGGAACCGCCCACATGACAACTTTAGGCAATATTCACCTCGGTCCAAGTCTCAAAACAACCATTACCAACACCACCATTCACGCAGTGTGCCGAGTTACATAGGAGAAATGAAATTTCCATGACAAAGGAACAGACACAAGCCATAACAGATCAAAACAGTCCTACCAGTGACTTATCCCAGAAAAGGGCTACAGTGCGACTACACACAAATTATACACGGGGTTTACATGGAAAATGTGAAAACTAGCCGACAAGATCCACGGTTGCATTGCGAGAAAAAAACGCTTGCTCTGAAGGTCTTCGGAGTGTTACACAAATTAGTAACATCTTGCATACTTGGGAATGTCCCACATTTCTGCGCCTTAGCCTCAGTCTCAGGAAGATTTGCTGATTTCAGAAACAATAAAATGTCAAGAGATTTCTATTTTTGCACTCAACAGAGATGAAGTGGCACGTGGAACATATATAACACGGACGTTCATGATTCATATTAGGGTAGACAACCAAGGAGAGATGGTCTGGACAAAGCAAGAAATGTACATACAATTTTGGAAAGAAGATTGTGCCAGATAGTAGGACCTTAGAGAATTAGGTTGTGAGGATGTGAACTGGCTCAGTATAATGTACAGTTGTGGGTTCTGGTTTTAGCGGTGTTAAAACAGGGCCAGTTTTGATACCCACAACATGTGTTCTATGTTCCGATGTTGACAATTAAGCAACCGTCTGAAAGAAGTCATGGTTGGAAAAAGGGGGGGGGGCACTTGCCAGTCACAGGATGTGCGTACTGTACTGTATTTAAACACAGGTGTTTTGTATAAGCCAAAGACACTGGCAACAGTCTACATTAGAAGAGTGAATTTTTGCATCCTCAATTTGTACCTCATTTTCTCCTCCTGTACACAAGTTCCACCACGAGCCAAAACTGAAGTCATATCCATCTTCATAAGACCATGTTCTGGACTTGTAACCCCCAAATAACACACGAAAAACTGAAGCAGAACGTCTTAATATTTGGATTCTTGAATAACATCAGAACTCTGAATTCCAATTCAGGTAAGTTATTCTGGCACCAAGTTCTTTATTGGAAGGATGGAGACCAAAACTTACCCACTGGAACAAATAGCATTTAAAGACACGGCAGTGAACTGGGCTTGAGCGTTTGATTAGTTTTATTGCAAATGCGTACGTAACCGCTGAAACCGACGAGCGTCGTTCGCCGTCAACCAGCAGATTGACTTCTGATGACACTGTTGAAGATGTAGGAATACATTAAGGACCATGTCAAATAATTTTAAATACTTTTTTAATGAGGCTGCCTCAACCAAGTTAATTTCAGGACTACTGATGACAAAGGAGAAAACAGACTAAATTATTCGGTTTCTGAACCTTGTCCACCAGCTGATGTTATAAAATACACATTTGGATCATTTGGATCTATCCTTGTCTTCAGGTGTAGGCGAAGATGAGGGCAGACCTAGTCTTCAAAATGTGTATTTTATAACATCAATTGAAAAGGTCCAAAACCCAATTATCTAGATTGTACTGTACCATCGTCAGAATCCATCAGAAAGAAGACTGATGGTCTGTGGTTTCCTATTTGCTTGAATGCACGGAAAGTGATGAAAATATCTTGGTTATGACAATGAAACTAAGTAGTAAACCCCTGAAATGATGCTGTTAGTAATCAAAGCTTCACTTCACAAGTGTTGAGATATTTTCACGATGGAGTGCTTTGTGAATGGCCACAAAAGCAGAAATCCAACGAGCGTCAAATAATGGTGCACCTGCCCACACGAACCAGACTGTGCACAGTATTCCACAAATTAAAAAGCTTTCCTGCTCATCGCACAAGACCCCCTGTGCCTCATTTCTGTTCCCTGAACTTAATTTCACAGATTGAGACTTCATACTACGACGATTTATGACGGCTGTCTGCTAAACACACACCAATAAGCATTCCACACTAAAATGAATGAATACAGCGAATACCACGTATGCCAGCGCATCCAAATTGTATTTGAACAGAACCTGGTATAAGTTTCAGCCGACACCAAGTACACTGACTAAGCTCCGTCCTTCCGGCTGAATGCTGGTCGTCTGCTTGCTTCCTCACCCCCCCTACTCTCTGCAAACAATCATTCTTTCATTTCATTATCATTAAATGCCTGAGAAGTTCACTTTGCTACTTCCCTTCTCTGGATTGTCGCGAAATAAAGCTTTCACACGTATTTGTAACAACGCGGGTGGAAGGTTAAAGGTTTCAATAACATTACTACAAAACTAAGCAAATGTGTTTATAAAAACAGCTTACAACTTAGTCAACATGAAAACAAAAATTTTGTTGACACGGTGTTCTACAATGTTTTCTGAATTAAACCTGCGTATTTTAAAATGACATTCAACTTACAAACTTCAGGATTACCAACTAATTCAATGGAGCAGCTAATTAAGAGATTCTCAACTTTTTATTTCTTTGAGATCCATTTTAATATTGTGCTTCATCTACTGACAGGTCTGTCAAAGTGTCCCCTTCAGGTTTTGACATAACACGAAAAACCGAATCAAGGAACAGATGGAAACTAGAAACTAAGCAAATGTGTTTATAAAAAGCTACACTACACAACAGCTTACAACTTAAGTCAACACGAAAACAAAAACTTTGTTGACACGGTGTTCTACAATGTTTTCTGAACTAAACCTGCGCATTTTAAAATGACATTCAACTTACAAACTTCAGGATTACCAACTAATTCATTGGAGAGATTCTCAACTTTTTATCAAACAAACACCCCTGGTACTTGTACTGAGCCAAATTAATGTAGTCCACACTGTCGCACCTTATTTCTTTGAGATCCATTTTAATATTGTGCTTCATCTACTGACATACACGAATAACCGAATCAAGGAACAGATGGAAACTACAATTTTATAACTAACACTACGCTTGAGTCCGTCTTTAGAAAGCAACTACCTGACTTTGTTATGAAACGCATGTGGGCTCAGTCAAAACTCCCAGAGCAACACTCTTCGCAGATTACTTTAGAACGTTGGTACAAATAATGTAATTTTTAAACCCAACTTACCAAATTAATACAACTACGGTTTTGTTACCGTGTCTGAAAATGACAAAGCCGTAGGTTACAAACGAGCGAGCACGTCAGTGATCACGGATGGACTGTTTATGATTCAACGGGGACAGTGTTAAATGCAAATATAACCGAGCATTGTATAACCATGAATGAACAGAAAACTGTTGTAAAATATTATAATCAAGTGTATGGGTAATTTTTCTGCCTATCCAAAATACAATCAGCACATGCAATTACGTCATCATTCTTGCCTCTGCAGAAGCCTCAAACAGTTCTAGACGTACTTCACACTTTAGCACATCCTGTCAGTGCCCAATCACACAGGCGCCACTCCCCCTTCCCACCCGCACCCATCACGATCATTCCCCAGTCAGTACTTTGGTTGGTGGCGACGGCCGAGACGGAAACCGGGGCCTTTCGACGGCCAGACCAGGCGTGGATCCTCCATTACAGTCCACCTTGGGAACGCAGAGCGGGTCAGGCCAGGACCATTTAATACCGTGTTCTCGACCTTCGCGTCGAAATCTTCCAACAAATTATCATGTGATCTGCAGAGAAGTGGTGAAACAAGCAAAGTGCACATTCCAGTGCCATTGCCGCTGAAAATCAATTACAACAGAACAAAGAAACATAAACTGCCCAAATTAAATTATTTTCAACTTTAAAAAACACTTTCCAAATTGAACTTAATTAATCACAGTGTTTCTCATTAAATAAATCACCTTCACGACACAATGTCCGAAAGAACAATCCCACAGACGCTTGTTCTTATTTTTAAAAGCAACCACGTAATGACCGGATGAATCGATGCATTCATTCTGACGAGGAAAGGAAACTGTTCACCCTTCTCTTCCACATGCACACTAATCACAGTTTGTAATTTTGTTCCAGTGACATTACTGTTACTGCCGCTATATTTATTTACAAAAAGTACAAAAAGATCCACATTGAGTATCAATACATGAAGAATATCTTTGAATGTTTATTTCCATAATTTATTATTGGAAGGCAAAGTACAATATCTGAAACTGGGTAAAATCCACAGAGTCACAATACGATGTAACTTTGTTGTTATCCGCCTTCTCTGACGGGACATCATAAAAATTCACATTTCTGTTTCTCCATTTCTTCTATAAAACAAATACTAAGTTTCTAAATTTACTAAAATAATTATATAACAAAAAGGGTCTCAGACTAAATGTAATGTTTGACGTGCAAGAAGGAAGCTTGTAAGAAAGGAGAAGGGGGCAGCCGACGGGTCGCACTATGTAAGCCGGTGTACACGATACAGCCTCGAAGAAGTGGCCACCGTCAAAGTTGCAAACGGTACGATACGTTCAAAGCACCAGGCTGTCATGGCGTCCATCACGCATTTCAAATGAATGCTAAAAGTACGGTTAGCGAGTAGAAATCAGTCAACCCCCGGCCATAAATCTGGACAATGTCAACGACAAACGTGCCATCAGTGCTGCGTACGTAAAGCGCTCTCACAAAATGAAATACGCATTTCCACAGCATATCTGTAGGCGACTAAACTTTGTGCGTGCAGGAAGACGTAAGTCATGCAGATTCAGACGGGAAAATATAAAAAAAGTTCTGAAACGGCACAATTTTAATGATACTACAAATCAAATACATGAACAGAGATAATGAAGGTGATAATTGGGGCAAGGATCAAACAACTGAAAACAGCGTTAATTTGGCATAAGGTTTCACGTGTGAAAGCCGCTAACATTTCTCGAGTGAGAATCTTCACGATTTAGTAACATAACTCCACTGTTACATGAGAACAGTATTAACAAGTTGCAAGATATTTCTTATACACAAAGAAAATTAAATAAAATAAAATATCAAGTCTTAAACATTTCATCTCAATGTAAAATGCAGATGTTGTAACAACCAACGTACCACACTTTTATAAATGTGAAACGGTGGTTGCAGCAAGAAATGTGAAACTTTTCTCAGCCATCATTTAATTTGTGGACATAATTTTCATATCCAGTGTGAATTCATGTTTCATCTGCAGTCAAAGTTTTGTTAAAATTCACTTTTGGCTAAAACATTCAATTAAGAGCCACGTAAGGTTAAAGAGGAACTGCTGCGACAGATGAAATCGTACACAAGGTCCAAGGCCAATTAGAATAAAATAAACTTGATATAATGGGAAGAAAACTTCTAGCAAGCAGCTTTTACTAAAATGTTAATATAACACGAGGGTAAGGTTAACACGTTATATATGGTTCTTAATTGAACGTAAGTTTATTGCAGTGTTAATTTAAAAACACTCAACTGAAGCAGTAATTCAGAGAAGATGCACCAGCAAATTATAGTCATGTGCCAAAATGCACAGCGATACGCGAATTAAACAACGCTACATCTGCGGTAGACTGTACATCAGGTTACTTAAAAATGGAATTAATTTTTAACTCAAATTATCCATTACAACATTGTAATATATTGTTGTAAATTCCCTCTGGGATACTTTCTTTGCTACAGCTTCAACAAGCTTCTGGCAGTGACCGACAGGAACCTCTGCGGATGTGTCGTGTGACATAGCATCTACGCAGAGACCGATTTTGTCCATGAGACTCAAACCGGATGTTGCATACTGCATTACACTCTCCACTGGCATCTTCTGAAGAATTTCTTCTGTAGATCTTTTCAGCATGATGAAGGACTGCATGGAGCTCAAGAGCGTATTGTTACGGTCTGCAGACAGCAACGCGTCGAAAAGTTCTTTGTGGCACGGCTGGCCAGAAGCGAGCTGACGATATAAATGACCTTGCCAAGTCTTATTGGACGGGGCTGAGCTCTCACTCAATATTTTACAGAGTCCATCAGGATCATGTTTCACAAAATACTTTATTACCTCCACTTTGGGCAACTCACCAAAAAATTTGTCTAAACCATCTGAATTCATAATATGGTCCAAGACGGCGCCACGTCCAAATCTGGCCACAACGTCACTGACACTTTCCTCCATTACTTCTGCAGTGCTGTTTGCAAGACTATTACTGCCTTTCAACACACTTAAGACTTCTTGATGCAGCCTCCGACTACAATGACCCACCTTACTTGCTTCTTCCAACACCGTTGCTAAACTTCCTTCGTTTGTAACAAAGAACTTGACGACATCAGCTGTACTCACGGACGGCGATGGTGATGACAGTACAGACTCAGGCTCCAGGTGAGCATCTTCGCTTCTACTTACACCACCTGTTTAGAAACATCTTTGTCACAACACTACTACATTTATGCCGTCTGAAAACAAAGTTTAATTTAACTTACTGAAAAACTAAGAACTCAGATAAAATATATAATGTCCAATGAGAAGAATATTTTGTTATAAACAATTCATCCATTCATTGTGTTGACCTCAGCCAGGTTTGAACCCGCGAACATTGGGTCCAAGGGCGAGAACGCTAACACTAGTGGCGACGTAATGTATGCCACAGCCGTCTAAAACCAACATGGTACGCTTGTGTAACAAAGCGAACGGCTGCCTTTTCCATACTGATCATTGTACGATGAGTTCCTCTTGGACTCTTAAAACAATTCCTGGTAGAAATTTATTTTTTGATAATTTTTTTTTCCCTGAAAATTAAATGGTGGGAACTTGGACTATCAGTGGCGACTGCTTTTATTACAAAGCGCGTTATACACAAATACTTGATTTCTACTCTCACCACATACAGATCTCATTAATATCATGGACGGATGCTCAGTCTCCTTGGAGTGAAATAACGCATTACCAACACCACAGCTGGGGCAGAATAGGTGCATGAGACTTGCGTCACCAAAGGTGCCAAATGGTTCATACGGTAAGATTTCTAAATTGATTTTACACATCTAGGGTGAGGGTCACTGGTTTGAAATTCATGTCTGGCAAAAACCACTTCGGAGCCAATGAATCTGTGAGGTCCAGTTTGAATATCAACTGGTTTAGGGTTCTTGAAAGGTTATTCCCAGTCAAACAGTGGGCTAAAACACTGAATTTGGCCACAACTTACCTTTACTGATTATACTTGGCGACCTATCACTTTCAACTTCTAGTGACTTCACGTAGTCCTGGAAATGATCAACAGTATAAGCAATTGTTGGTACCAGCACATAAATAATAAATGAACCTCAATGTACTAAAAATACCTTCATTATTCTTAAACCTTCAAAACTTAAAAAATAAAAACAAATAAATGTAGAATAAAATTTTTCTTGGATATTATCCATCGTCTAGTAAATATAAAACGTAAAA